TAGAGATCCAAAAAGATATTTTGTAATCAAACTTCTGACTAAATAGAACAAAGGTTTCATTTACGCGTAAATTCAATGACACAGGATTATTCTACAATATGGCACTATTTAACGGGTAAATTGATTCTAAATAATCTACAAATCTTATGTTACGAAGTATCTAGACTGTTTGCATTGAAATACACTGTTACTGTTCATCAAAAGAAAGCAAAACTGTGTCAAGGGTTATCCTTGTGTAGAAACAAATGATGAGTGAACGCACACGTCAAGAATAAAGTGGGCTAGACAAACAACATTCAAAAAACAGTAGAATATAAAGAAGTAACTGGCAGGAAATAGCATTTAATTGTCCGAAGGTGATTACAAAAGTCAGTTAAAATATCTATACATTATATGATACAAATTTGAATAATGAACGATAATTCTGGATATGGAGTTACGACGTACTCAACATCACATTGTATTTGACAGTTTAAATTCAGTATGGAATCAAGCTGAAATAAAAGAAAACGTAAGTTTGGACATACACACGTAGGGAGGACTCATAGATCTCTTCAAGTAAGGGATATTTTCACAGCATATTTCTAAATAGCTCCAGAAACAAATAGAATCTTCGGAGCCTATTCATGGTGAGAACAGCAGGCGTAGCTCTTCCATTGAGAAAAATAATATAGAGACAGGACATGGAACTGATGTTTCCACACCTATCAAACCTATCTGTAAACGTGTTTAGGGCGAATCCAAATGTTTGTGTAATCCCTAAGAATTAGAGGGTTTAAACCACCTTATGCGTCCAAAAACAATTCGTCATCACATTAAACTTTCCTTGCGAAACTTTGTTATGATACCACAGCTTATGTTCTATAAATTCTCCTATTTGGTTTAGTGCACTTCATTGTTATTTTGACCTTCACTATGTTCTTTTAACTTGACCTAAGTCGTTTTTCTCACCTGTTAACTCATCATTAATTTCATAGGACATATTTCGTTTGTGATCGGATTGTTGGAAATGTGTTGCACGCAAATACATTACACAGCTTAGACAAATAATGTCCTTTTATTGCTTTGTCTGAATTCATAAAAAGAAACTAATTGTTTTAAATTTTTAAACAGAAGGCTCCTTCCACACACTATCAAAAGGTTAAATGAACTTACCAAACTTAGGTGTAAAATTATCGTCGAACTTAACACGTGGGAATTTTATGAATTATGTATTAAAAATCATTATAAATATTTGAAGTTCTTTAAATTGCACCCAAATTTCTCTAATGTTATTCGTCTTACAAAGTCACAAATCGAAAATGTTATACAAACGGTACAAGGACCACTGGTTTTTCATACCGATGCATCACTTATTTTGTCAAAGTTATCAATATTATGCCACATTAAATTTTTTTAGTTTTGTGAAGATGCTACTCAGTTAACAAAGACAAATATGCAAATAAGTTGAAGAGTTTAGTCAGTGATCGAAACAGCATTGAACTTTCTCCGGTGAATCCTGATAAATATGTTACAAATCTTTTTGATATTACTCTATCTACTCATCAGATAGAAGCTTTAACCCTTGGACCCAAATTTTGCGTTCCTCGCACGCAGTTTATGGATTAATCCATCCATACTGAGTTCGAAATACTGTTTAACCAACTCAAACCTCTTCCCGCAACATCCGATGAAGATCGGGTTTGATATAAAGCCAAGATGTTGGGTAAAGCTAACCAGTTTTTAAACAACAACCAAAAGGAGAAAGGTATTTCGAATTCCCAGCATTTCAAAGCCTTCAAAGAATCACGTGAATACTTCATTATATATAAAGGTTCTGGAGTTGTCATTATGAATAAAAGTGACTACAAATCTAAAATGATGTCTATCTTCGATAATAAAAGCAAATTTAGCCGTGATTCCTCTTCAGAAGATGTTGATTTGTTGCAGGAGATAGTCAAACTGCAGAAGCATATCTGTGTGATTCGAGTCAGATTTCATTCAAACAGTAGTGTGATTAGAATATATTTTAATCAGCTTTTGATTTCAAATCCACGTGCAATTTGTTGACCATCTCTCAGCAGGTTCCTATGAGAGTAAATACAACTTAACGATTTACTTGCTCACGACTCTGTGCTCTGCACAAATTCTCAACACCACAGGTCAGCTGAAATCCAAATTCAGCCCTGAAGTTCAAAGAGACTTGCGAGCTCAAAAAGTACATATTGAAATCTATCCTTTCGAAAGTGATGAACGAAGAATGTTAGATCACCAATTGTAAAATTAGTTGCAGTTGCAAATACTCATCAACTTTCAACGAATTCGTTTTGATTACGTCGAAATCAATCTACCATTTTTCAGTTAGGCTTCTCTGAACTCAAATCTTAATGATCTCACAAATTTACTAATGATAGTTTTGATAGTGTAACACGATAAGCAATTGACGTAAGGGTAAAGTTAACCGGTGGTTAGTGATTGAATTTGATTCTCACTGTCAGTTATCGCGATATATAAAGACAAAGTGCCTCAGAATATTGAGGTGCGAGCATGTTTGCTGTCTGTGTTTCAGCAGAAAGGCAGCAATAACAAAATGCAATTTCTCAAATAATCTTTCTTTTCAAAACAGTGTATGGAATTTGTGTCGAATAAAATGACGAATAGACAGCTTATTTTTCGGCAATGACAAAACTTTTATAGAGAGCATTGAGAACTCGGTTAATTTGTAAGAGATAATTCTTTAAATGCACCTCATCATAATGGAATCAGCTACATATTCGTGAAAACAAGGTAAATTTCATTTCACTGGTATCACAAATGATTTCTGTAATTGATATGTGTAATTATGTACCCCATTAGACTGACTGTTGTATTAGCTCCGTATGCTTATGCGATTAGTCCATTTAGGCATCAACTCCCACTCTCTTCGAATAATGAAAACGATTGTCTTAGTAAACACTTATTGTTCGCTGCATAATATATAGACGCCTTTATGTGTTTCAGTTGGCAGCTGTAAAGTGTAAGCAGATATGTGAGATGGACAATTATATTAACGTTGATGGAGATACTGGGCTCATCGTCAAGTCATTACTGGATTACCCCGTTCACTTCATTCCCACTTGGACATTTAGAATTCAAAAGGAATCAGTAGAGAAATATTCACTTTCGCTTAGATCTTCATCTCTCGCTCTAATATGTATTACTTTTCCATTGTCCAAACTATTCTACATTTCCTTAACTTGATCTCTTGATTATTCCTTTATTTTGCTCGAATTTATGCACTATACAATTCAGTCCTAGTAACCACCTCTCAACTTTTATTGTTCGACATTTATGTGTTTATGCAAGCATATCTCCACCAGATCGTGAAAACTCTTTTACAAGGCAATATCTATTGGGGTTAAGATGAGGATCTGATTGACATGCAATTATTTCTTCGCTTATTCGTCCGGCCTTTTAAAGTACCCCTTCATTCACTTCAGTATACGATTGAAGTAAAGTAAAGTAAAACTTGAAAGACAAATGGATTTCAAGTCTCTCATATAGTGAGTATGGATGGCAAGACACGGAACCCAAGGCTCATTTCAAGTGGTCCAACCGCTAAATATGTATATATACGGTTGATATTCTCTAACCAATCACTGAGCGTGTGATTTTGGCTTACACTAAACGACATGAAATAGAATGTTCAAATGCATACATAATTTTCCGTCGCCAACGCACTACTTTGGTGTGGTAATAATATTCGTACTCTAGCAGCTAACAGAATGTTCAAACAGATATATCGTTTTCTGTTTCTAATGCAGCATGAAACTTTAGGAATATGTGAGGATAATACTCCATTGGAACACATTGTGTGTATCACACCACACTATCACTAAATCCCACTCCATGTGACATCCCGCTAAATTTTCTTACAGTATAAGTATAAAACTTGGGCACTGTGGTAGAGTATAATTCCATTATAGATAAGATTTTATTTTGATAAATCACATAGTGTTGTACAGTTATATGAACTGATGACGTTTCGAGCACAAACTATTGCTCATAATCATATCAAGTTACTCACACAACTTTGTTCTTTCATTTATATACATGTGTAGTATCGATTATATATTGGATTAAAAATCACTGTGAGATAATGTACATTCAGAAATAATCGTACGAGTGTTGTTGATCAATTGCAATTAGATGGGAAAAATGGACGAGCGTTTTCACAGTCATAATAAGCTACTTGTTAGAATGTTGTGTTTGAATGTGATTGAATCGAAATAGAATTTTAAGATTATTCATTATCTTCTTCTGATTTGACTGATGGCAATAATACAAGTGTTATTGATCGTACTTTCGATCTGATTATAGTTGATCAACAACACTCGTACGATTATTTCTGAATGTACATTATCTCACAGTGATTTTTAATACAATATTTATTCGATTCTACACATGTATATAAATGAAAGAACAATGTTGTGTGAGTAACTTGATATGATTATGAGCAATAGTTTCTTACAGTAATTTCGCTGAAAACATTCCTTGACCGACTTAACACTAATGACTAAGAATGAGTCATTTGACATAGTGTGTTTTCACCACAACTTGGACCATTTACGATTCTGGGTGAATAACAGATCCTCAATGTTAAACTATCCAATTAGAGAATATTCCATTTGAAGTACAGATCCGCTTCATCATCTGTGTAATTAAGTGTGACTTCACAAGCTCACCTGTGTTTGTGTTTAGTGAAAGAAAGCTGTTTTTGTGACCCACTGTTCCGCTCGATTCAGTCGTTGAGAATTGTTTCATCATCATAAACGTACGCTGTACATCAGTGACTGAAACCTATTTTACACAGAAGACAACACATAGTATCACTAATATGCACATGTCAATCCTATATGCATCACCCCTCACTGTCGAGCTTAGTTTATTGAAAATGCGGATCGACTAATATCCTTAAGTTTTCGCTTAACATACTAGACTGTAATTCGAATGATACTTCTCAAGATATGAATTCAAAATTTCGCACAATTTTACTTTGGAAGCATCTTCACAAACTGACAGGGCGTTTTTGATGCTGAGAATTAGAAATAAGGATTCAAATTCTGGTTGTATCATCAGAAGACATTTTGAAATATACATCATTTTAGCACACAAACATTTGAAAAGCAATCGGACATGAGTGCAGATTCGCAGGTGATAATTTAGTTCATATTTGTGCATTTAATACTTATGAAAATCACGTTATTCAGTGTACAAAAGACGCGAGCACAAGTTAAATCGAAAGTAAACTCAGTTATGAATAAGCGAAAATTTCGGTAACAATAAAATGATGATGCTTGCTCGACGAAAACAGCTCGACAGCGATTCCACGAATCACTATTTGTTTTTTCACATTATATCAGACTGGAGTAAATTTGTGCAAATAAGCTTATCATGTGACACCAAATGATGGAGGCAAGAATAACGTCTATGGTGTTGGGCGTAAACCACCACATTATCCACCTTCGGACATTGACACAAATAAACATCACCTATAGTGTAAAGAAGCAAATCGAATTCAGACACAAATGACTACTTTATATGAGCATAAAGTTTACGTAAAACTCGAATTCCATTGTGAGAAAAACTGTCAACTTTTATGATTGCAATGTTAGTAAAATAAGGCAAAGTCTATGCGCTTCAGCTACTGTTGAATTATTAAGAAATTCACTATCACCTTCCATGTTTTCTTGATATGATCTCTGTTAGACTTAAGTCAGCACCTAATACAAACTGTCTCTGAAATGAGGCGAATAATTCCTTTTTGTCGCATATTTCTGGAAATGTGTGCTTCTGATAACAGCCTGTACCTCGTTTTGATGGACATTTCAAGCCTGCTTACCTATATGTCTCATTTCACAATTGTTCGCTAACAGAATTTCCAGAACATTATGTTTGCACAAGTTGATATATTATGGGCGACTCTGACGGATGGCCGCTCAAAATAAACATGACTTCGTCGTTGCTGTTGTGATAGTAAGATTTCGCGTGAAGTTTTTGTTTCAGATTTATGGGTGGAATATGTCATTATATGACTCTATGGTTGAGGAAACGTGAGGGTATATCGAAACCATTACTCATCCTTGAGCAATCTAATGTTTATGTCTCTCCTGGCTGTACCATATTGGATTTATCTATGTTCGCCGATGAATTCATCGCTTTTGCTGCAGCTTGTTTCGAGAACTCTTTATCAATAGTAACTGGCGACTTCAATGGAAGCGATTGTTCCTTCCTTATATGACTTGGTCATGACAATATTGTTAACTTTGCCACCCGTCTTGGTAAAAAACTGGATCTAGTATTCACTAATGATGCTGGCATATATGAAGCTCGCAAACGTGCTTCTCTACTGAATTCTGACCACTGTATCATACGTGTACTGCCTAAAATATATTCCAAATCACACAAGGGTGTCCTTTCCCACCTCTACAGTATAGTTCAGCGAAGATGCTACTCAAAAGCAAACCTAGACAAGCTCAGATGTATGTTGAAAGACACTAACTGGGACTTATTTACAGAACAAACATTAGATGAAACAATCACAAACACTACCGATTATCTTAAATTCTGTTTCGAAATATGTTGTCCTAAAGAAACATTATTCATTCGATTTGATCGCTTATCTTCGCCATATCTCAAAAAGCTACATAGAAATAAAGAACTGTTGTTCAAAACTAATGATAAGCCTGGTGTAAAAAAGTTAAACTTACTGATAAAACTGGAAATGAAAAGACTAAATGTTTTATATAATCAAAGATTTTTGTCATATAAAACCCCTTCTAATTTATGGAAACTTTTCAAAGAAATTACTAACGGTAAGCGATGTATTTCTATTCCATCTCTTAATGTTGACACTCTTGACAAATCTTTCATACGCTCTTCTGCTGATACCCTTCCAAATGATACAAATCATAATGACAATAACTTTAGTGGTTTTAATACCCATGATGTGCTTAAATGTCTCCGGTCTCTTAAGCCTACTCAAAGCCTTGGTCCTGACGGCATACCCACCTTTTACATGGAAAAACATTAAAATTATCCCTATACCAAAACCATCTTCTAGTTCTGATATTAAATTTCGGCCTATTGCAATTACTTCCCCCTTTTTAAAATTGATGGAAAAATTACTTTTACTTCGTCTTGAACCCGCTTTGAAACCTTTTAGTGATCCTAAACAATTTGCATACAAACATGGTAGAAGTACCTTGGATGCTGCGGTTGTCTTATATCACAATGTTGTCTCTTGTTTAGACAAAGGTGCTAAATATGTTCGTAGTGCTTTCTTAGACTACACATCTGCTTTTGACTCTGTACCTAGGGGCCTTTTGTTAAATAAGCTATCGTTGACACAAACAGGATCCTGGGTTAAGAGTTGGTTGCATTCCTATTTTTCTGATAGAATGCAGTATACTGTATATAACGGCAAATCTTCTTCTACCTCGCTTACAAAATCCGGTGTTCCACAAGGTGCTGTCCTCTCTCCTTTTCTTTTTTCTTTCTTCCTACATGACCTGCCTCATTCAAACGAAACTAACTTTGTCAAATATGCAGATGATCTGACTGTATCACTGCCTATCACTTCCGAGTCTGACAGCTCCAAACTTAATAGCTTTCTGTTGGACATCAACAACTGGTCCAAGTCAAATGGTCTTATATTAAATCCTTCCAAATGTCAGGCACTTGACTTTACTTTCAAGCATCGACGTGACTTACTTGAACTAGTTAACTCGCATGATCCCTGTAGCATAGATGGCACGGAAATTGAAACCAAATCAAGCATTAAATACCTTGGATTAGTTTTTTCCTCTGACCTTTCATGGTCATCCCATATTTTATCTATCTATAAGAAAATGTTTCGTCTTACCTTCTACATTAAAAAGTTAAGACAATCAGGTATCAACCAACCTTTAGTTTTGCAATTTTTAAACTCCTGTATTTTACCTATTGTACTCTATTGCTCTCCATTAATCTTTCCTGGGCTGCTCAAAAAAAATTATATCATATTACGAAGAGTATTAAATGCTGTGAGTAGAGCTTGTGGTCTGCCACTGCATGAGCTCGCTAATACTATAGTCGAGAGGCATATAAATTCCTGTACGAAATGGGCAAAGGCTATAATGTCAGACCCTCTGCACCCCCTTTATTCACACCTGTCCCCTTGTATCTCATCAGGTAGGACGAGAAATCAATATAAAAAAATGTATGCTCGTACAACTAAGTATAGAAATTCTACAATACCCTATTTAGCGCGTACTTTATGTGACGAAGACTCTGTTAGACGTGAAACTTACAAGTTACTATGTAATTAGCACAGTGAATCGACCCTTTCATCGTTCATCTTTCTGTATTTTATGGTGTCACACTTTCTATCGTTTAAATCGTTACTCTGCTATTTTATTTTTAGTTGGTATTACTATTATTACTACAATTTTGTACTTTATACATATTTTTCTCCGTATGGCACACAGTATTTTGCTACGTAGCTGCTATAAAAATCGTTTTATTACTATTATGTAATGTGTATTTTTAATTTTTTTTGTCGTTTTTGAGTAAATTAGATGCAATATTGTACTGAATGCTGAAAATTCCTTGCTGTATAATTAGTACTGTTTTTGGAATAAAGCTATTATTATTATTATTATTATCAATTTGGCTGAATGGCTAATCTCTGAAGGATGCTTCGTCGTCGCAATTCAATACTCTCATGAAATTATCAAACGTCTATATTCTTTATCAGATGTTTTTCAAATGAAATTGACAGTGACTGCCTGAAATTTTTAATAACCAAAACCTAATTTTCTCTTTTTACTTACAGCATTCAGGAAAATCATAAAAAGGTGTCAAGCTTATTAAAAATATTTCAAAGAAAGTTTGATACTGTTTGACTGACTTTGACCATAATTCAAGTTTTAGATTCCATAGCGTTAACAGCATTGCTCTGACCGAGGATTTAACATCGCATTCAGTTTTCATCTACTATCGGTTGGCACTTTGTAACAAAGTGCAAATTTATTTCATATAAACATATAACGACTGATTCACGCTGTATACTTATGATCCACTGTGAGCAATTTAACGGCAAAATTGGATTGTAGTAAATACACTGATTTTATAGAAAACTTACCGAATGTATGAATAACACAACTGGAACTGCTAGCAGTTTGCAGAATATCAAACCCTAAGAAATGCAAAAAAAAGGTGTTACATTCACATAAAGAAATAAAAGCTTTATTGTTGCATGTTAATCATCATACCAGTAAATATACGAAAGTAAACACTGCTAACATGTTAACACTGACAATAATTAAAAAATTCCTCAAAATATCCTCCTTTCAAAACAGTGACGTCAAATTAATATAATAATATTAATAATCTACTTTATTCCAAAGTCAGAGCTTATAATACAGAATGGAATTCTCAGACTTTGTATCTGATTTAGTCAGAATAGAAATAAAATTAAAAATTAAAACAAAATTAACCAGAGGAATTTGTCCACATTTACGGTATAAAGTCAAATATTTTCGAATGAGAATAATAATTAAATTAATAATAACAATGTGTTTGTTTTAAACGGTATTGTCGATTCAGTCTGACAATTTTAGCATGTTATAGATTGCATGGAGGATTTAATCATGAGCTGACATCAGTTAGAGAACCACTGGAAAACCTGGGAGTACTGGACAGCCGTTTCGTCCTAGTTTGGGACTCCTCAGCAGTACGCACCCACCGGGATTCGAACCCAGGACCTTCTGGTTACAAGGCGAGCTCGTAGACCATTGAGCCACTGGGACCCGATCCAATGATCCTTGAATTCTAACTTCTGCCAGTTCACAACATAGCGCGACCACTTCGCAATGTCTTCTTCGATGAGTTACTGCCTCATCTTCGACCTGCTGTACCCTACTGGTCATGGCTTCCCACTAGAACCCCAGGTTAACTGCCTGAATAGGGCCAGTCACTAGTGAGCATCAGATGAATTTTTAAGTATTGGTTTTTGTAGGGATTTTGTTTGATTGCATGGAGGATTTAATCATGAGCTGACATCAGTTAGAGAACCACTGGAAAACCTGGGAGTACTGGACAGACGTTTCGTCCTAGTTTGGGACTCCTCAGCAGTACGCACCCACCGGGATTCGAACCCAGGACCTTCTGGTTACAAGGCGAGCTCGTAGACCATTGAGCCACTGGGACCCGATCCAATGGTCCTTGAATTCTGTTATAGATTATTGAATCTAATGTTCTGTTGATAAAGTATGGTGAGGGGATATACAAAATTAACAATTATAAAACAGCCTGAATGATGTTCACACTTACGACAAAATAAACAAATAAAAATAAAAAGTTGAAAGGATTGTAAATAAAAGAAGTAGAATAACAGTAAAGGTCGATATTGTGAGGGTATAGAAAATGGTATACCCTTCTAGGGTATAGAAAAACGATATCAGAAGAGTACTCAATCAGCTCGACATTAGAGTTTTCTTCAAAACATCGGACACACTTCAAAACAACCTTGTCCATATAAAAGACCAAATCCCTAAAGATTCTCTATCTAATTGTGTCTACAAAAAAAATGCTTGGAATGTGATGCGATCTACATCGGACAAACATCTCGATGAATCAAAATCAGAAGAAATGAACACCGTAGAGCACCTCTTCGACCACCGAGAAACCCATTTGAACTAGGAAAACTTGAAAAATCATCAGCCATAGGTCTACGCACAATAGTATCAGGCATCAAAATCGATTTTGACAATATTGAAATCATCATCCGGAAAAACTTCAGAAATCATAAATAATGTCTAATATCAGAAGCACTGCATATCAAGTGGAACCCAAATTGTCTGAATAGGAATGATGGACTACATGAGAATCTGACCTGGTTACAACACCTCCCTCCCCTATGAAGTGACAAAATGAACACTAATGTGATAAGCAAGTTCACTGTATAAACACACACTGCTTTTATAATTTTATACACTGATAAAATCCAACGATCTACACTTGATTTTGTTATCTTTACCAACTGACCAGCTTGACAACGAAAAACGACCCCAGACTAACGAACGATGATCAAGTTAGTAAACTTTCTTTTGATATCATAACAGATGTACTATTACCTTTGATATTCGGTTTAGTGATCTTCATTGTTATTTTTACTTTCAATCTGTCCTTTTAACTTGACCTAAGATTATTTTCTCACCCCTTCGCTCTTTGTTATATATGGTGAGAATTTGTGAATTCAGGTTTATTAATACTTTGATAAAGCTATTAGTGGCATTAAATAGCGAAACATCAGTAAGAACAATATCGTTTTGTTTTTCATTCATTGGGAAATACAAAAACCTTTGTTATAATGAATATCATATACCCAATGCTCACATTTTTTTCAAACCGTGAAAATTGAACTTGATTTGGACTTATATAAGTCATTCAACTTTAGAAGGATTACTAGGCTGTTCTATGAACCGTCTTCTAATAATTAGCACTCAGTGGATAACCAGCTACTTCGGCTGATGTTTCATTCTCTATTTTATTTAGCGTTATTACGAGAGAAGCCGTTGGCAACAGGGTATTTTAAAATGATATAGTGATTTCATTACATTTCATTAGTATGATGTGTAAATCCTTAAGACGTCAATTAATGTAACTTACCTCTTTTAGTTTATTCATCGAGTAACAAGATATCCTTACAACGACAGCTAAAACCCCAAGGACGGCTGATATTGCCAAAAGCACGTTGAACCCCTTTTCACTCAATTGAGGCAGTTTCATAGCCACCAAGACGACCCCAAGAGTAAAAAGTATTGTCACGGCTAAAGCTATCAAACCGTATTTCAAGTCAACTGGTGAGTACACAGCAGCGACGATCACAGACCACGATATAACCTACATCAAGAAAACAATAACAGTGATATTTAAGTAATTATTATCTCTTAAGTGAAGGTCTACTGAGAAAATGAAACACATATCAAATGCAATATTGACCTTATTTCTTTCGTCAGGTAGATGATGTTACTGTCACCATCACAAAATGCAGAAAATAACTATTCGTTTCACGAACAAGCAGTCGACGTGTTGCACAGTGCAAGTGAGATATTCATCAGTTGTGCACAATGTTATTTCGAATGAGATAGTGAGACTGAAGTAATATATTCAGTTAGCTGTGGACTTTTGTAATAGTATTACATTTGTATATTAGGAATGGATGCTTGAGTCCCTATGCCAGTGACCTAAGAACGGAATAACCCTGTGAAATAATAAATAACCTGATGAATTTATGATGAAGTGAAATGAAACCTAGTGAAATTAAAATGTGCATATGTTCAAGTGATATCACTGGAAATTGTTCAGGAAATATTCAGCTTGATTTTTATACGGACTGGTGATTCAAATAACTTCAGTGAATTGGATATCGTCTAAAACTAATCCCAGTTTCGCATGAGGTTTTCAAAATTAAGGTCATTCCAACATTTCGACTAGTATTTATTATGCTTGTATCAGCCTTATTTGTTGACGAATTTACAAGGGTTTACGAAGATGACTTCCTTCTTCCCCACATATTTTTTCATACGTTCGTATTAATTACCAACAACTTTGTGATTGCTCCCATTGGAAGATGGAAATAGCATGCGTAAGAAATAGTAGGAGCAATCTCATTGACAGGATAACAATTACCATAGAAATTTCTAAAATAACACAGAAGTCATTTTACTTCAAACACAAAAGAATAATGATAAATCTCATGGTTTCATAGGGGGTAACGTAATACTCATACTTACCATAACCCAAATTAATATATGAACTGCGAAAAAGTTCAATCGAATTTCTCTCACCAATGTAACTAGAAGTAATGGAATGGTGGCTACAGACCTGCAGTGAATTCAAAAACCATTAAAAAGTCATCCCAACCAGAAAATAATTAAAATATTTAATTACATGATAACTCCAATATAAATCATGCTAATGCAATATTCCACACGATAGATGGAACATTCCTACACTGGATCCCTGCCTTAGAGGATCAATCCTTCATTTTGTTCGTTGATATCACTGTCGAATTTGTTCATTGTTATAGAGCATATTCATGTCATCACAAACATTTTATTTGAAACAGAACATAGTGATTATCCGTTTTCTTTAGACGCACGGAGGATTGTGCTAGCATGAAGATCTGATGAAGTTCGTTAAAGATAATCTTCCTGTATTTATCAATAACAAGCATGCATATCTATTTCAAATCCTGATTTCTGGTATTCAGGGGAAATTTACTCTCATGATGAAAACCGTATGAACAGCATACGTTAGAGTATATTTCAAACTCAAATAATAAATTCACGATATAATATACATGAAAATCGTCCTCATTTCACACAACAATTGTAGGTGTGAGTTAAATAAACTGACTGTATAGTCGAACACTTTATTTTAGCAGTAAATAGTAGGTCTTGTGATCTGGTTTTGAAATGCGCACTAACCAAGAAGATGTTCTGGTATTCAATTCCTAATTAAATTACTCCTTTACCTTGACTAGTTTGATAGGTAGTAGTAAGCGTGGCATAAAAGGCTAGGAAACGCATCTCTTAGAAACCAACACGAATGCTTCGGAAATTTCAGGACCTCAAACATGAAGTCTAATATATCAGCCAAAATACAATGAACGAATAAAACGGTGACTCTACAGCAATAAACAATGCTTGTATATTTATTTATTATCTCTTCAGATATTTTCATATAGCAAATCGATGGGTAGTTGTTTTTTATTTTGTTTTGTTATATTACAGCTAGATGCCACAGAGTATTTGGATGCAAGTATGGAATTCTCAGCATGTCATGTCGACAACCCAAATTTATCGGGTCGACCATTGATATCAGGTTTGCTTAGGCCATGGATAGAACCCCGGACCATGTGCATGATCGAAGAGCGTCCTAACCAACGCGTCAACAACAAATTGGGTGGAATAGTCGTTGTTGTATTGTTTATACTTAACAGTATTATTTCTTATTTGGAATGAACACCAGCTTATTCATCTTAGTCAAGGAGCTTATTGGCTTGGACAGATTGAACAAATACTAAATGACAATGTAATCTAAATGAATTACACTCATCATCTATTAGAGGAATAATTAATTCAATGAATATAAAAAATAATATTCGTTTGATAACTAACATAATAATATACGCCAGATAGGAGTGTTCCATGAAAAACCGAGTAATACTTGGCCTGCAAAGCAAGATGAGATTTTTTTATCTGCTTTAATCCAATCTTACACAAAACTGAATAAGATGACCAAGCCCACTGTCACCAATATCATAAGCGTCATATTGATTAGGAACTAAAAATAAAAAAGCTTATTCAACAAACCATGCAACTATTACCAAAATAAAGCTGGCGAAAATTGGCTTTTGTGTTTCCTGACTCTTAATCTTTGGACTGACCAAAGATGGTACAAAACCTACCATCATGGAATATACTGAAATCTGTGAATGAAGATATATATGACAACACGATGAAAAAGTTTTAGCAATCTGCCAGTATAGGTGATGAAATTAGGGCTTGTGAGGTTAAAGTTTTTAATTTTTTAAACAGTACTATTCTAAAGGGAATTTGATCAAAGTCTCCGACATTATTTTTCTCAGAACTATGAATTGATGGTTTGATAAGATTCGTCATTTACGCTTGTTTGTGGATTTTTACGGAGATAAATTTGTCATAATGTGGAGGAATATACCTCAGTAGTCTGTAAAATCTGAATAAAACTTTGGAAACATTTTGGATACACGAAACTGTTCATGACAAATTAACACAACTAAATGCATTTTCTAAAAGAATGAGTTAGTTTGCATTTGGTGAAGTATGATGTGTGAATGAGTAAGGCGCTAAACGGTAACGCTTTGCTACAAGATTAAAGATCTGAAATGTGAACACCTCTCACGTGGATATTAAGTAACTGAGGAGTAAATTTCGATGACATCCTGCCATTTTAACTATTTACTTCATTCATACAACTAACTAAAAATCACTGAAACATAATTTTTGCTTTCTTCCTAACTAGAGTGTTGATCCTGTAAATGGACTAGTAAATGAACTCGATAAAACTACGAGGAGAATTTTTGATGCTGCTAGTTCGTGTTTCTCATTATCACCAAACGACTCTTTTCACAATCTGGGAGAGACCAGTTGGCATCCACCGACAATCGAAATTGAGTATATTCAGTAGGAGTGTGTTTGCTGAAATGAACGTTTCGGTGGGACGTAAAGGTGATTTTTTGCTCGAATGTTAGAGGATTTGCAAAGGTGGCTGAAAACAGTGGAATTTTGAAATAATAGAAATGATTTGTAACTCAGGTGGATGATTTGCAATTGATATAAATGCTTTAGAATCAATACATACAGACGATTATGGACATCAATTTGATTGGGATAATGTCAAAATCTTAAACAGAGGAAACACCAAATGTGCCAGGGAATTCCTAGAAGCCTGGTACTCAGATGAAAACGCAATTAATTAACACGTTAATATAGATAAAATATACCAACTAATAAGAAGTAAATCAGGTGATCAGAAAGTTTAAAATCCCAATCAATAGAAAGCGGTCAATACATATCTAAAGATGGTTACCGGAAGACTCATGAAGAAATTTAAATCATTTCACTTTATCCTAAATACTGCGCTAAAGATGTCGTCCAGAAAGACGATGAAAGCTCCGCAATTAAACCAAGGAGCTCAGAGAACACCATCAATTGCAAAACAGTCGAATTTATCGTACCAAATAGAGCAATAAGGAGACATGTTATATACATCGGACATGAAGGTGATACTGTCAAGTCATTCACTATTGTCATCTTACAAACAACAGACAGGAAAATGGTGTCAACTGTTGAGTCTTGCTCAATTAGTATTTATAAACCAGGTCTCAATGTAGAAAAGGCGATGGTGTTTACGCTCAATCAACCACGGTGAAATGTTTTAATTATAAACCATAATTATTACTATTAATACAACATTTTATTCAGCCTCTTATTATCATTCCTGATTCATTTAAAAATATCTTTATCAGTAGCATTATCTTGACTCCTGTTAACATTGTCATTATTATTCATATCAATAACATCATTATCGATAATACTCAGTTTCTTGATGTACTCAAGCTCTTTCTGATGACTTATTGTTCATTCGTATTATGGAGCTGAGTTGTGAGTGATTGTCAACCTAATTCCGATCTTTCAAACTCACTTGCACTTGTTTATATGAACTTGGCCTGGAAAACACTCACACGTATATTTTCGCAGGATTGGTTCAATGTAGTTTACTAACTTATCAGCCTTGGAGCTCCCAATGTAAATCTAATGGTGCAAATATCTCTGTGTATAGAATACTTAGGTTGAAGAGTTCTATTGAAAAACCTATGAAATCAATAAATGGTAGCTTATTAGGCTTTTCTTATTGTCTTAGAAAGGAATAAACCTGTCAACTACGATCAACAGTAAACTATGATCGATACCATATATTCATTCAGATCCGTGTAAACTTAAGAATCAATTGGTTCAAACATAACTAGTTGAGAGAACATGACAAGTGTACACTCACCTGAAGTAACGTCTGTCTTCTGATGTATGCGTTTTCGAAATTGTTCATGTTGTTTCGTATATATAAATATATATTAATTGACTTTGTTCACGTCTAATGCAATCAATATTGAGCATGTAAAGTGAAAACATTCTGTTTTGAATCTCAACTTTATTCATTACGTCTTTATTCACAATAAAGTTATGTGTGGGTATGGATCAAAACACTATCAGCTAGTTCAACTAGTGGCGAATTTTTCAAACGAATATAAGGTGTCGATAGCTCTAAGGTTCACACAGTACAAAGATTACTTCAAATCAAACCAGTTATTTGTGTTTCTCATATATTTGGATTCACAAAGAAATCAAATATTGGTGCAAAAAATAAAATTGTAGATTTCTTTGAAGAAATTTGGAACGCTGGTTTTATTCAATTTTCTGATTGATTAGGTTGAACATTTGAGTGACGCGTAAAATCGAGATCACAGGATTTGTATAAAACATGATACGATACTATTTCACACATAAATCTAATAGACTGAATCTGCAACAGAGAATGCACATTATGAAGCAACTTATAGCGACTGCATCATGTGAGATAATTTTTATTCTGCAAACAGTAGTTGCGGGAGAAATGTAGCGGCGTCCTAAAGAATTGTACCTCATATTAGTTGTTGTTAACAAGTAGTATAGTAGTTTTCTGAGTAAAAAGTTGATAAATACTTGCTAAGAACGAAGTCAATAACACCAACCATTCAGCACAAAATGAATTCATGTTTCTCCAGAAATCGCCATCATGTGTACGCATCTAGTTAGATGCAGTAGAAAAAAAACAGCTCCAAGTATTCCTTTGTGTTTAATGTACGTTGTAGCCTACATTATTGCTGAATAGCGTGAAGAAAACATAAAGGCTTATGGTACTCTGATCAACAGAATGAACTACATCAGACAGGAAAGCAGCTAATTCAAATCACAGTGGCATCGGAAGAGAGGAAAACTAAATGAAAAATTAATCGTCACTTTAGACGCTTTCAAATACAAATTCGCAAGTTTGTACAACTTTCGTACGTTCCACATAATTCAGCATTACTGTGCTTTCATACTGCAGGAAATTCTTAATGGTTAGCATGGAAAACGCATTCGGTATATAGGATCATTACCGTTTATATGCAGTGAAAGACCTTATAGAATATTCATAAATAACTTTCAACTCTCCATCAGTATAACATGACTTTTAACAAATGTGTCTCAGTCATCAGTATGTGGTTTGTCTTCCGTATACTTGTTCAATAACGTCACTTCGGTCTCTTCTTCCATTTACTTAGAATGTTTGCAACAACTGTATCATTCGACTCCCATTATTTACTCCAGAATATGTATACGTTTTTGTGTTGTTCAGGGGACAGATCTAAATTGTAAGCAGTGATGTGAAACGAAGAATGTTTTTAGCGTTGACGGATACACTATGCTGAATAATTCACTCATTCTCGTATGCATATGTCCTTTTGAGTAATGGACATACATTTGTGAATGCCGGTGTCAATTAGGAATACATATTCACGAGAGAAAAATGTTATACTGATCAGTGGGAAACAATCAATAAATAAGATCAGGAAGTCTTCACAAAGCAGAATCTCTTTTTTCATCCCATGAACATTGGCTATATGCCAAAATTAAGGAGCGCCATTATTGAGCAAAATTATTTCGTCGAGGAATCAATCATGTATCCTAATATTCATTTAAATCTTCGTTGTCGTTTCTATTTCACTTTTTCTCTGTAATATCTTAAAGGACAAGTTTTAAAACGCTGCAGTTATGTGCCGACTTATACCTAGACAGGCTATAATCAGCTGGGCGTAAGTATGCCCGCTGTGTATTACCATATCACTAACCATTTTAGTAATTCAAGAATGTTTCAGTTGGAAGATCAGTGTGGTCTTCATTGAAACCGACATTCCGTTCACTGCACTAGCTACTACCTGACTGTTTTGTTGTTGAACTGGATGCTGTGTGAAATACAGTTCTGAATTATATTAATTTACTTTTAATGAGTACACTTGTATATTTGTAGCATTTAAAGTGATAACAATTTGCGTTCATCAAGCATGTAAACCAGAAGGAACTTTCACGCATAGAAAATATGTATGAGAGCAGAATTTGAAGTTATCATGTGGCAGAAGTGTGAGAAATGTTCATAGTTTGCAGTATGTAGGATGACTGGTTAGTAAATCATATATTTGTAGTGTAATTAAACAAATCATTAACTCAAAAATTCTCAGAAACCAAAAATTAGCCTCTTTTGTACTCCATCTTTGCATCCTAGTGTTCCTGTTCACTATGCTTTCAGTAATTTTTGTGTTCATTCAATTTTCTACATCAAAATTTTTTGTGTATTACAAATCACCAAGCAAACCTCGAAAATTCAACTCAGTCAGTTCCCGACAATGTTACTTGGATCGTTGTGTGTGTTAAGATGTAACATTTGCTGTCCTAGACGTTCTACTAATACAACAACTACCTTTACCTTCCATCATTATGAGAAGGGTTGCATTCAGTTTCAAAGTTTCATTTCGCCATGGGTGCGCAAAGTTGTACAGCCTTTGATGCCGCCGCATATTCTAAATAATATAAAACATGGCGAAGTATTTCGCGTCTGTCTCACAATTGACTTCTGGCATGGTACAGTCTACCTGCCGATTTCCTGTGTATGTTTATCTTCTTTTCTATATGTACTCATCTGAACAGGCTAGAGTAGCACTCTGCTCTTCTCCAACAAGCTGCTAACACGGAAATTTTAAGAGTTCATCGTTATGCTATACCAGCTATATACATCTTGTAATCTCCTCTACAAATAACCTTTGACATCTAACCCCTGTTAAGTTTATTGCTTATCACATCATAGTTCCATACAGCTGCGTCTTTTTGATTTTTGTTTCGTAATGAGTACTTGCAGGTCAGTTAGTGCAATGACTGAGTGGATAATCAGGCAAAATGTGTTTAGTAAGGCTTGTTGGTGTTACGTATCACCACCTAGACCAGTAGTCTGATCACACACGTCTTAAGCAAAAAAAACTACAAAAATATCAATAATAAAATTAGTAAGACAGTGGATACATCCCTCGCCGACTCCGGAATGATTCGATTTGATGATACAGGATGCCCGAAACAGGATAAACCTTTGACTAGCTCATTACATAAATCAGTTCCATCTTACCGCCAGAATACGGCTATGCAACTTGCGTCGATACAGATCATTCATGTCAGCAATCAGTACTAAATAGATCATGACAGAACCTTCGTAATTATGTGTTAACCCGTGTTATGAGTTTTTCGATTTTAAATGGAAAACTACGTTTAATTTTCACTTCAGACTGTGTAACTTACGACAGGATTATTGATCTTGAACACATACAGCAGAATGAAATAAATGAGTATCAGAGAAAACTCGTGAAAATATACGGAAAAATGTGTACTCAACACGATAAAATTATGTTTGCAAGTAGAATTAGGAAGGCTCTTAGTAAACCGTGAACAATCAAACAATCAATATTTGCACTGCGCACACTGGAAGGAAACCACGTTTTGGAACAACTGTTTCAAATTAACACATAGCGTTTTTTTAGTTGTAGGAGATATGATTGTTATTGTATTGCACGTGTTTACGTGTTATCGTTGAAGCCTACAGGTTTCCCTGCATTCGTTTCACAAGGTAGGATAATCATAATAATTATAGCTGAATTCTCACCCTGTTTAATGTAGGAGAAAATACTGTCCGTGAATTGCACGACTGATATTTCTTTTAGGTTTGTGACTCTCACGTTTGCCAAACTAACAGGCTAAGCGGAGAGTATTTCATTGTCGACATAATGGAACTGAACCATAAGTCATTGATAAGCCAAACCAGGAGAGTATGATCTTTTTTCTTTCATAAGACAGACAGTGGAAACAGACACTTCAGCAACAGATGTGGGTTAATACAGAGGAAACAAATTAGATTAGTCATACAGTGAAAATATTGAGAAAAAGCCTCAGAGTTTACAATAATTTGTTCACTGGTCTCAAAAGGCTTGAAACGAATTGATAACTAATCTTATTTCTGCAATTTTACTTAAAAACGCTGATCGTCGAACGGAAGGAAGCATGCGCAAAGGACGTCGAAGATAATGTACGACGTTTATCAAATCTATGCACTCATGTTCTGAAATGGTGAGATACTATGTGAATATGTTAACGCTATGAAACTTCACCAAAAATATTCTGAGCTCATTGCATGTTCATCGTTCTCAAAGGGCTAAATAGTATCTAAGAATCCTCTGTATTAAGGAAGAAATTCATCTGTGGATATACTCCAAAATTATTATCACTGAATTCCGCATTTAGGGAAAAGTCCTTACCAATAAAATATGCAGTCCTCTAAAAACGGGTAATGTCCACTGAATCGATGAATGGTAAGTATGTTAGTGAAGAACTAGACCAACATTAATTTAGTTTACTCTTGTAATGCATTGCACAATAAACTCTGATTCATCCATCAGGTACATCCATTTCATATTTTCATTTGATGAGGAGTTTAGATTTATCTGATATAATGTTGCACTAACTCACTACTCTTCACAGGTGTATGAGTTTTTCACTGGTTGTTTATATTTTTTATAAATGCACAATCTAAGTAGTTTAACTTATCGGGGATATTCCAGTTCACCTTCGATGCTTTGATGCATGATAATTGTCAGAAATCATTCCAGAGAATGACATTTCGTACAAACTTCATACACTCTTTCTCCATTTGAATTTGAATAAAGCATGAACAGCATTTCGCTTAGGATAACGTGTTACCATCACTTATTTAGTTGGCTTCTTATCAGTTGCGTACAGCCAGAAGAAATTATGAAGTTTATGTACACTCCAGTTTTAACACAGGTGCCTCTACACTGAATTAATACTACGAGGCAATAACATGCATGTAGTTTCTACCCACAGAGTTCAAGTTCAAAGAAAAACAAGTGTTTACACACAGTGGTAAGAGAGATACTTAAGACAAATAATGAGTAAAATGATGGGTAACTGATGAAATGGGTAACAATATAGTGGGTTCAAATCGAACCAATGAAACAAGA